TTGTGTGAGAGATGTTCTGGAGTATGTGCTCAGGAGTGGAACTGCCAGGGGCACCTGGGTGGTTCAGTCAGCTGGGTGTCTGACTTTGGCTCGGGTCAGGATCTCACGGTTCTTGGGTTCGAGCCCCGCGTTGGGCTCTGCGCTGACATCTCGGAGCCTGGAGCCTGCTTCAGATTCTGTGTCTCCCTCTCTCTGTCCCGCCGGCACTTGTGCTCTGTCTCTCTCTCTTGCTCTCAAAAATAAATAAACATTAAAAAAAAGTGGAATTGTTGGAGTGTGGGGTATATGCTCTCCACAATGCCCCACCAGCCCAAACTCCTGCTAGGATGAGGATTCCTATGTCCCCATGTCTTCACCAGTGCACACCCATCTGGTGGTTATAAAGTGAGGCTTATTGACATCTATTTCCTTTTGCTTTTCTGCAGTGGCAGAAATCCATCTGTCCTGGATGTGCTGCAGAAGGAATTGACAAGGCCTCCCATATGCTGCCTATTCTGTTACCTTTGTTTGTTTTTCTAAATTTATTTTTGAGAGAGAGAGGCTCAGAGAAAGAGGAAGACATAGAATCTAAAGCGGGCTCCAGGCTCCAAGATCCAGGCTCTGTGTCAGCACAGAGCCCAATATGGGGCTCGAACTTGTGAACCAGGAGATCATGACCTGAGCCAAAGTCGGACACGTAACTGACTGAGCCACCCAGGTGCCTCTACTCTGCTGCCTTTTAAGACAAGTGGTTCCAGGGGCGCCTGGGTAGCTTAGTCGGTTAGGCATCCGACTTTCGCTTAGGTCATGATCTCGCGGTTCGTGGGTTTGAGCCCCGCGCCGGGCTCTGTGCTGACTGCCAGCTCAGAGCCTGGAGCCTGTTTCAGTCTGTGACTCCCTCTCTCTCTGACCCTCCCCTGCTCACATTGTCTCTCTCTCTCTCTCTCCTAGAAATAAATAAAACATTAAAAAAAATTTAAAAAAAAGACAAGTGGTTCCAGCTGCTAGATGTGCCCACACCCCATCACTTGCTATCATCCATGCACAAGGCACCAACTTGATCAGAGCCAGCTGAATAAGGATGGCACCTGAGGCCAAGGACATACCAAGGTGAGTGGCCAGCCCCAAGACGGACCCACAAACTCCATCCATGTTGAGAGTGCCAAATCAATCCATCAAACGCAGCATGCATGCCCCCCTCGTCTCTCTAGGAAATAAAAACGTGGGGCAAACAACAGTGATATAGGTGCTTTTGTTGGGACTGCTGCCCTGAGTCCACATTAGCAATTTTCTCCGTGGTCTCTAAGGCACGAGGGGCCAACGAAGTGTAGGATAAACTAGAGTCTGGGACTGGGTGGCAGTGTCGCTTTGGAGCTCACATTTCTTCAGATTTCTGAAGTGACTTTGCATATAAGCTTTGAGAATCATGGGCTCAGGACTCAGAACGTCATGAGTTCAAGTCCCAACTTAGCCACCCACGGGACTGTTATATGCGAAGCCTCAAAAATGGTCATCTATTATTAGCAACAATTCATAAGGTAGGAAATAAACAAATGACTCCCAGAGAGGCCAAGCCATTTGCAGGAAAGCAGAATTCAAACTCGGGCGTGTCTGTTTCTATTTGTTACCATTTTCTCAGCAGCCTGACTTCACTAACTGGTTCTCTGCCAGGACCTTGGGCTGCGTCCAGCAATGGATGCCTTCAGGAGTCCTCCCCAGGGTGGGGAACAGCCCCCAGGGCCATCTTGGCACGCGTCCCTCAGGGGGTGGGAGGCCCAGGGCAGGCCTGGGCCCAGGCTGGGCTACAGGATGCTCCCAGGTGTGGGGGAAGCAGGCAGCCTGGCCGTTCTCCAAGCACATTCGGAGCCAACCCAAGGGAAACCCCAATTCTGTCAGTGCCTGTACGCCTGGGGCACAAGCATTGGAGACATTAAATATTAAACATGTCGGCTGGCTTCCAAGCTTGGTAATTAAAACTCTTATTTCATATTTTACAGAGGATGGACGGGGAGGTCATGAGGCTGCTCTGAGAGATTTCATAGCTCCCTTGTTCACAGATGAAGTGGCTCTTCTGAGGAAAACCTCCCTCTCACTGAGACCCATGCTGCCCTATTTATAAAGTGATTTCCTGAGAGGGTGGGGAGTGGAGGCCTGGAGGGCTCCAGGGTATAGGCACCATTCAGGGCTCCCAGCAGTGTCTTTCTACTTCTCCAAAATGGGTCTGTGTGCCGAGAGCCTGCAGAGGGCTCGACCGCAAGCCCCTCACCCCTGCTGCAGTGGCAGCCTGGGAGCTGGAGATGTCTCTAGAAAGGGGGAGAGAGAGGAGCTCTGGTGGGGGCGGGATGGAGGGAGGGCCAGAGGGAGGGGAGGCTTCCCTTAGCCTCTAGCGCCATCTGCTGACCAAATTCTGAACTGCAACTCTCCCAGAGACCGGCGGGAGACCAAATTCCAGCTTTGCACGAGGATTGGGAGAAGAGGGATCAAGGAAAATCAGACCTGGCCCTTCAGGGAACCCTTTTAAAGCAAAATTTAGATTTGTGAATTGTTCATGCAATCATCCTCCAAGGTCAAGGGCATGGACTTGGATGTGTGTGGACGTAACGGGATGTTGTGGTCATTGTGGCAGCCTGTCTTTTTGAGTGTTCACTGTGCTGAGAACTGGCCCACATGATTTACACTGGTTATCTCTCTGTGGGTGCTGCTCTCACGTTGCATGCCCAATTGTACAGATGTAAATACTTAGGCTGAGAGAGGACCCCAAAGCCAGATTACCTCCCTGACCTCACCCCTAGTCAATCTTTATTCAAGGCCCCTCCTTTCCACCTTCAAACAAACCAAGAGCCCTCTTTGTCCCAAAGTCCTTGTTCCCTCAAGCACCTCTCAGCTTTCCTGGGACCATTGCAAACGCTTCCTACTAGGATCTTCCCACTAGGATTTTGATGCCTCCCACCTTGCCCTCTATAATCTATTCTTCACAAATAGCCATTTTGATTTTAAGATGTGAATCAGATCACACCTGTCCCTTGCTCAAAAACGTTGATAGATTCCATTGCATTTAAAATAAAATCTAGGAGCACCTGGGTGGCTCAGTCAGTTAAGCATTGATCTTTGGCTCTGGTCATGATCTCATAGTTCGTTGAGTTCCAGCACCACATTGGGCTCTCTGTTATCAGCGCAGGGCCCAAGTCAGATCCTCTGTCCTCCCCGCCCCCTGCCCCTCTCCACTAGCACTCGCCCTCTCTCTCTCTCCTCTCTCAAAAACAGATAAACATTATTTAAAAATAAAATAAAATCTAAACTCCTTGCCATACTCAAAGAAGCCCTAAGAGTTGTGAGGGGTGCCTAGCTGGCTTGATCTGTAGAGCATGCGACTCTTGATCTCGGAATATAAGTTTGAGCCCCACATTGGCTATAGAGATTGATTTTAAAAATTAAATTTTAAAAAAAGTAAAATCTTAAAAAAAAGCCCTAATGGTCTGGAGGTGGGGTTCTCACCAGCCCCATTCATACCCCTCTCCCCCTCTCCCCCCTCAGGGCTCCAGCCATTAGGGCCCTCAGTTCCTCAAACATGCTAAGTTCTTTCTGACCTCAACCCTTTTGAAGAGGCTGTTCACTCTGCCCAGGGGGTTGTCCCCTTCACTGCTTTCCTCCTAACTGAAAATTCTCCATGTCATGGGCACTCTTCACAGAGGTCTTAGAAGTGGCCTAGTTTTATCTTTCCTTTCCCAGGTCACATCAGATGTAGCCTCACAAGATGCTACATCAGGATGAAGTGGAGAGCCAGGAGGTTGGCTAGCCATAGCAAACAAACGAACAAACAAACAAACAAAACAAACACACACACAGAAATCCACTTGAATTGGCTAATGCCCTGAAGAGGGAATTCCAAATCTCATACGCTAAATATCAGAAATGCCGTCAGAGCCCAGAGGACCTGGGATCAGGAATGAGAGACCCACTGGGAAACCTCCTCCTCTTCCCCACCCCCATCTACAGCCTTTCCGTTACTGGAATACAGATAGACATATAGTTCAATGGAATAGAATTGAGAGTCCAGACATAAACTTACACGTTTATGGTCAACTATTCTTCAACAGTGGTGCCAGAACAATTCAGTGGGGAAAAATTTAACCTTTTCAACAAATGGTGCTGGGGCAATTGGATACTCCACATTGCAAAAGCATGAAGTTGTATTCCCTACCTCACACCACATACAAAAATTAACTGAAAATTGATCTAAGACCTCACAAGAAGAGGTAAAACTATAAAACTTTTAGAGGAAAATGTAGGTATAAATCTTCTTGACCTTGGATTAGGCACTGGTTCCTTAGATAACACCCCAAAGCACAAGCAACCAAAAGAAAAAGGGACAAATTGGACTTCATCAAAATTAAAGCTTTTGTGCTCCAACGGACACCATCAAGAAAGTGAAAATATTTGCAAATCACATAAATGATAAGGGTATAGTATCCATAATATGAAGAATTACTATAAATCAACAATAAAATGGCAAATAAACCCACTGAAAAATGCTCAAAGGATCTGAATAGACATTTCTCCAGAGAAGTACACAAATGCACAATAGCCCCATGAAAAGATGCTCAGCATCATTAGTCACTAGGGAAATGGAAGTCAAAACCACAAATTACACCCACTAGGCTGGCTACAATAAAAAAGACAAAAAACAAATGTTGGCAAGGATGCAGAGGGATTGCAACTCTTCTATCCTGCTGGTGGGAATGTGAAATGGTGCGGCCACCGCAGAAACATTTGGCGGTTCCTCAAAAAATTAAACATAGAGTTACCATGTAACCCAGCAGTTTCACTTCTAAGTATATAGTCAAAAGATTTGAAAACATGTCATGTCTGCACAAAACTCATACATGCCAATGTTCATGGCAGCATGACTCAAAATAGGCAAAAGGTAATCAAATGTCTATTAACAAGATGAATGGATAAACAAAATGTGGTGTGTCCGTACAATGCAATATTATTAAGTGATTTTTTAAAAAGTGCCAACAATGCTCACTTCAGCAGTACATATACTAAAGTTGGAACAATACATAAAAGATTATGTGGCCCCTGCACATGGGTGACACGCAAATGTGTGATGCATTAAAAAAAATACCAATATATGTGACAACATGGATGGACCTTGAAAGCCTCATGCTAAGTGAAAGAAGTCAGACGCAAAAGGCCACATATTGTATGAGTCCATTTATATGAAATGTCTAGAACAGGCAAATTCAAAGAGATCAAAAAGTTTCCAGAGGCGCAAGGAAAGAAAGGATGGGGAGTGATTGCTAATGATACAGGGTTTCTTTTTGGGGTGATGAAAATGTTCTGGAATGAGATAGTGGTGATGGTTACACAACTTTATGAAGGTGCTGAAAACAATTGAATTGTACACTTTAAAATGATGGAGCTTATGGTATGCAAATTATATCTCAATTAAAAAACAAAACAAAACAAAACTCCCATGGCCCCTATGCTTACCCTTCCGGTTCTACCTCTTGCTAGAACTTCCACTCATCCCTTTGCTCAGAGAAGCAGAGACTCTAGGAGTGACTTTTCTTTTTAAGAGAGAGCATGAGTAGGGGAGAGGGGCAGAGGGAGAGGGAGAGAGACAATCTTAAGCAGGTTCCGTGCTCAGTGGAGAGCCCAATGAAGGGCTTAATCCCAAGACCTAGGATCATGACCTGAGCTGAAATCAAGAGTCGATGCTTAACCAACGGAGTCACCCTTAGGAATGATATCTTTAAGAAAGGATTTAATTCTTGGATTTGACCTTAGATTGTAAATGTGAATGAACAGTTTCTCTTTCTTTTTTTTAATTTTCAAATTGTATTTAAATACAAGTTAGTTAACATATACCGTAATAAGGATTTCAGGAGTAGAATTTAGTGATTCATCACTTACGTATAACACCCAGTGCTCATCCCAACAAGTACCCTCCTTAATGCCCATCACCATGTAGCCCATTATACCCCCCTCCCCTCCCTCCCTCCAGCAACCCTCAGTTTGTTTTCTGGATTTAAGAATTCTCTAATGGTCTTTCTCCCTCTCTCTTTTTATCTTATTTTTCCTTCCCTTCTCCTATGTTCATCTGTTTTGCTTCTTAAATTCCACATATGAGTGAAATCATATGCTATTTTTCTTTCTCTGACTGACTTGAGCAGTTTTCCTGAGTCTGGACCAGCATCCGAGTGGGAGCCTCAACAGCGCCTGAATAAACTTGGCTGCTGCTTCATCTGCACCCTCCTAACCTCACAGAAAGTTCCCGAAGAGCCAGCCTGTCAGAAGGGCATTCTGAGCAATGCGATGTCAGGTTAGCTAAGCTAACCCCCCCCGCCCCCCATCTAGACTCAACCTTCAAATCTCATCTGCCAGCACATGGTGTCTTTGTCCATTCCTGCAGACTTGGGCGGGTCCCTCCTCTAATTGTCATTCAGTCCTGCATATGCATCTTCATGTGACTGGTTTCCCAGGGATGGCAGTAAAATGACTAGAGCAATGGGCATCTTCTATTCTAACAAGGGTGAGTATAGGCTGTCACAGGGCTGGCTGCACTTCCTTTTTCTCAAGGGATGGTGGTACTTGGCTGCGAGGCTGTGTTCCTTTCTGCACTGTGGGACCCAGTTGGCAGAGACCACATCAGAACAACTCATTGTGGGGTGCCCAGCATTTGAAATAAGGCCTGGCACACAGCAGGCGCTCAATGTTATAAAATAAAGGAATAGGGATGCCTGAGTGGCTCAGTCGGTTAAGCGTCCAGCTCTTGATCTCAGCTCAGGTCATGATCTCACAGTTTGTGGGATCGAGCCCTACACTGTACCGACAGTGTGGAGCCTGCTTAGGGTTCTCTCTCTCCCTCTCTGTCCCACCCCTACTTGCACTCTCTCTCTTTCTCTCTCTCTGAAAGTAAATAAACATGAAGAAACCCACAAAGGAATAAATATCTGGGGAACAAAGCAGGAGTAGCTGAAAGATGGACGAGAGGCGGGCTCCAGGTAGATGTAAGAGTCTGCGTAGCCGGGCTATTCAGAACACAGATCCAAGAGCCAGGCTTCCAGCTCCATCAGTTATCAGCTGTGTGATCTCCAACAAGTTACTTCACTTCTCTGTGCCTTGATTTGCTCATCTTTAAAAATGAGACAAGAGGGGGGCGCCTGGGTGGCTTAGTCGGTTAAGCGTCTGACTTTCGCTTAGGTCATGGTCTCGCGGTTGGTGGGTTCGAGCCCCGCGTCGAGCTCTGTGCTGACTGCCAGCTCAGAGCCTGGAGCCTGTTTCAGTCTGTGACTCCCTCTCTCTCTGACCCTCCCCTGCTCACACTGTCTCTCTCTCTCCTAGAAATAAATAAAACATTAAAAAAAAAAAAATGAGACAAGAGGGGCACCTGGCTGACTCCGTCGGTTGAGCATCCGACCTTGATTTTGGCTCAGGTCGTGATTTCATGGGTTAGAGAGTTCAAGTCCCACATCAGGCTCTGTGCTGACAATGTAGAACTTGCTTGGGATCTTCTTGCTCTCCCTCACTCTCTGCATTTCCCACTAGAGCAGAGTTGCTCTCTCTCACTCTCTCGCTCTCTCTCAAAATGAATAAATAAACTTAATAAAAATAAAAATAAAAGACAAAAATAACACCTCCATTGGGCTAACGTTAGCAAAACGCTTAGCAGTATACAAGTGTTTGTTGATAGATAGACAAACAGGTAGATAAAATGAAGGAAAGGCCAATCATTCTGTTCCTCTTTCAAAGCCAAGGTGAAAGGCAATCCGTCTAGGGAAGCTGCCCCTGGGGTTCCCCATCTGAGCAGCCAGAAGGCAACGTGGTGCTTCTCCTCTAAAATTACATAGGTTTAAAGCACCAAGACAAATGCCCACACTGGTAAGAACATCTAGACTAGAGGGTATTGCATTAGCATATTGTTATTTAAGGAATTATGACTCTTAGGGTACCAGCTTCTGCACAATAAAATGATTTTTAAAACAACATTTTAAAAAGCCGATTAAAACATAATGCTCTGTTTAGTTACTGCCACAAAAATGTTTCATTTGCAAATGATAGCCTCGCGGATTTAATTTACTTTCTGCTGACACCCGTATTAGATGTGATGGGCCAGGCAGGCTCGGCAAAGGCTGTAGGCTCCAGAGCATCGGTGTGGGGGTGTGAGCCGGTGGGCTCCACCGCTGAGCATTTTGGGAGGAAGTGGCAGGACCAGGCCTCCCCCGTACCCCCAGCGTCCTGGGTGCCTCCCAGTGGCCTGTACTCTAGTCTTCCCCATGGAGGATTAGGGGCTTGTTAGAACACGGCATGCTGAGATCACAGACTGAAAACTTGTTCTCCCGGGACCAAGTTCAGCCAACTGATCGTTGACCTGGCTCACATCCTGATTTAAAGAAAAACAACAACAACAAAACAAGCCGACATTTACAAATCCAGGGATGTCACTTAAAAATCTGGCTGTTTTGCTCCTTTGGGAAAATGGGAAGAACTAACCATACTGGACTGCTGTCATCATGGCAACAAGATGCTGGCATGGGGAGAGCTCACCTGCTTTCCAGTTTGTCACAGTCCCTGCCATTCCCAACTGTCTCTGCAGCCGTCAAGTCCAAGTTAGAGGCTTCCTCTATGCGACCACAGCCCTTAGCTCCCACGCTGGACTGGAAGTGCCTTTTTACCCCTCTTTTCCTGCTTTCCTGCAAATTTTGTGAAGGCAGGAATTTTGACTGTTTTGCTCCCCACTAATCCCGTAGGCTGGCATGGGGGCTGGAATATTGCAGGCCCTCAAAAAACATTCACTAATTGTATCAGTTTCCTATTGCTGCCATAATAAATTACTACAAATTTAGCAGCTTAAACACCACAGATTTATTATCTTACAGTTCTTAGAGCCATCCTGTAGAGAGGGAGTATAGGTTAAAAGTCTGACATGAATCTCACTCTTCCTAGAAGTTCAAGGGGAGGATCCGTTTCCTTGCTCCCTGAGGTTGTTAGCAGGATTCAACCCCTTGCAGGCTATGGGACTGACAGTTTCCTTGCTGGCTGCCAGCCAAGGACCATTTCCAGCTTCTGGAGCCCACCCATATTCCTTGACTTGTGGCTGCCTTCCTCCATCTTCAGAACTAGCAGACGCGGGGTGAGCCCCTCTAATGCTTCAAATCTTTCCTTTTTCTTCTTCCATCTCATCTCGGACTCAGGCAAGAAAGGTTTTGCACCTGTAAGGACTCGTGTGAATCCTACCACTTGGATAATTCAGGTTAATCTCCCCACCTCTGGGTCTTCAACCTTCATCACACCTGTGAAGTCCCTTTTTCCATGTAAGGTAACATATTCAAAGGTTCTGAGGATTTGGATGTGGACATCTTTAGGGAGCTATTATTCTGCCTACCACACTAATGAATGAAAGTTATTGAAAACTTGGCAGGATGGAGAAACAAGCATGAGAGGTGTACCTGGCACCGTGTCTGCTGGCTGCTGCCAGGAAGGTGGAGGAGCTGAGTCAGTGGTCCACAGGGAGGCTGGGGACTTATGAGAGGCAGGAAGGAGCTGGAAAGGAAGACTTTTCTCCACTGTAAGGATTACAGTACATCGCGTTGGGGCCAATGAGGCTGCTGGGTCAGGAAGAATTAAAATCCCAGGCAGAATAGCAAGGATGTGGGTTTAACTTCCCTTAGACTAGATAGTGGTCTTCCCAGTTATAAACCAGATTTTGGTTAGACTCCTGGCCCTTTAAAATACAAATATGATCGGAGGGCAGGGGGGACGCCTGGGTGGCTCAGTCGGTTAAGCATCTGACTTCGGCTCAGGTCATGATCCTACAGTTCAGGGGGTCAAGTCCCATGTCTGGCTCTGTGCTGACGGCTCAAAGCCTGGAGCCTGGTTCAGATTCTGTGTCTTCCTCTCCCTCCCCTGCCTGTGCTCACTCTCTCTCTCTCTCTCTCTCTCTCAAAAATGAAATAAAATAATTAAAATAAAATTTGATCAGCTGAAAAGCACCACCCCTTCTCCCGTGGAGAGCTCAGTGTGCTTCTAAGACACCTGCAAGTAGCCAGGAAATACCTCTCACTGGCAATCCCTCAATCTAAGTACCGGGTTATGCTGAATTTTTTTCTGTTTCTCTCCCT